GTCTTGATGAGTGAATTCTGGGATGGATGGTGGTGGGAATCCGTTTTTATGTAAGCATCTGTATGGGTGGCTTTCCTGTAGACAGAGTGGCTCATTGAACCATCAGGTCTCCTTTTAATTAGGACATCCAAAAAGGGTAGCTTGCCATCTTTTTCGACTTCCATGGTGAATCTGATGGCTGGGTGTATGGAATTGATGTGGTCGAGGACATAAGTGTCATCTACGTACCTCTTTCATAGTGGCAGTCTGGATGGCGTCAGTCTCAAATTTCTCCATGAAAACGTTGGCTACAACCGGAGATAGGGGGGAGCCCATTGGGGTGCCCTCAGTTTGTTTGTAGAAAGTTCCATTCCAGGTGAAGTATGTATTGGTTAAGCAGTGTCTCACCAGGGGGGGTACCCCAGTATTCAGTCCTTGATGAACCAAGTCTTCAATGATTGCGATGGTGTCAGGTACAGGAACTTTGGTGAATAAGGAAACCACATCAAAACTAACAGGCAGGTCGTCTGGGGACGGAAATTCTCTTGATTGTCGATACCAGGTCAGTAGAGTTTAGTTCCGCAGAGGTGGTTTTTCCAGTGAAAGGCCGCAGGATTTCAGACAAAAAACGAGCCAGTTTGTAGGTGGGGGAGTTGATAGTATAGACAATGGGACGAAGAGGTATATCTTCTTTATGTATCTTTGGCAAGCCATATAATCTTGGTGGCCTGGCTGCAGAAGGTTTCAACGAAAACTGTTTGGTTTGATCAATTAATGCTGTTTGAATCAGAATTGATTTTGTTGGTTTTAATGTAACCCACACTTCCGCTCGTAGAAAAACAACCCCCACAAAATATCCTTTACATCATTCTGAAATTTAGTAGAGCACAATTATTACCGCACGGGATTGTTATTATTACGTAATTAGTGCTCGTGAAGCCTTCTTCGCCGGCTGCCACGCCACCCTGTTGCACAAGCGGCACTAAGTCTCGCGTGGCTGCGCCATGCTCGTGGCAAAGTGTTGGGTTTTTGGGTACCGTGTGTGCGCGCTCAAGAGTTCGCGGGGCGATGACAACCCCTGCTCCCCGTACTCAACACTTAGAGAGGGCGATCTCGTGCACAGACATGGGTAAACAAACAACGAAAACCATGGGGCACATTTGGAAAATCATTTGTTTATTGCTGCTATGACCAGTGTAGGTCACCAGTGAAAAATACATGCTTAGCTAAATGGCCGTTACCCAAAATAACTGCCTGACTGACTTTATAGTTGGTGCACATTTGCATCTAGATTAAGGCCAGACTAAACCTAACCCAAGAGCATGATCTGGAATTCTAAAGGGAATAATTGCACCACTCTCTGACCAAGCAGAAACAGTTGGCACTGGCAGTTTGATGATCATACCTTGTCAGACTGCACTCATAGAGGTTTTTTTACTGCTCCTGACATTTTTATGGCAATCAATGTTGATGGGGTGCTATTATAGGCCCTCCTGAAAATCCACAATTATGCCACAGTCTGTCTACCTGTTGTAGGGGGGGGGAGGGGCGGGAGTGCGTTTCAGACTCACCGTGGTACCAAGGTATATGCGGATACGTCCGATATGTGAACGTCTGTTGAACACGACGTTTACCAGCACCGTACGCACGGATTGGTTACGAGATACAAGATTAAAGCGCAGACTCCTTTAAACGTTGCTAGCGTGCTTTACGTACGTTTAACTTCTTTCCCACCGTACATAGCCAACCGTGTTAATCGGAGGAGGTGCAGGGGCAGGACAACAAACTAAACGCAGAAGGCAATTCTGAAAGAATGAGTCGTTCTAAAGAAATGCGCCTGGGCAGTGTGCGAATGTAAACGAGATGAAGAAACACCGCGTGAAAAGGTCGGATTTTGGAACATCGATAGAAATAAGTAATATTTAAAAACACTTTTTTAAAAACACGCTTTAATGAAATGTACCGTACTAGTAAGGGCAGAACTCTACGATCTTGATTTTTGATTATAGTGCGCTGATTTTTAAAGGTGCATTGAAAAATGTATATTCTGCTACTGATACTCCTGCTGTTGTGGAGTGACCCATGCAGCCAACTATAGCTGCAAAGTTTGGTCGTACATGTTACATGTATCGTTTATTGTTAAATTTGAATCACAGTTCCTATGATCACTGCTACATTGTTTTTATAGCTTTATTTTGGTGATTTTGAAAACGTTTTGTTTAGCCATGTTTGTTTGTTGTAGTACAGAGTTAGCCCGATAACTTTAATCTACATTGTCTTATGGTTGTTATTGTTTGACTTGCATCCCACTGGGATTTTTGCACACAGCATTGAAATCCGGTGTTTATTCTGGAATACTTTGCTGTTTTATCCAGGTTTTTTCTGTTGTGATGTTTCTCGCTTTTTTTTTTGCGGTTGCACCCGAGTCAAGAGCCGCATGGCTCACAGGGTTATAAAACAACACATTCCTGCGGAGGGAGCTGGTAGGAACGTTGGGTTGCTCGGTCAATGGCCAGGGTCAACGGCGGCGTGGTGTATTCCGCAAATATGGCCGACTGTGAGGGCGGGCACAAGCCGGCGTGAGTAGGTTAAACGTTGAGTTTTATAAGGGCACCACGGGGTGACCAGCCCCTCCCCACCCAGCCCCACCCTCTCCATCCAGCCCCTCCCCAACCTCCCCACCCAGCCCCTCCCTACCTTCCCCTCCCCACCCAGGCCCTCCCTGCACGACGGACGGACATAATAATCCCCTGTGGGCTGGTGTAACCAGGAGGTTCCTACCAGTATTAATGAAACTGAAACAAGGACTGTTGGATATGTAACTTGGCAAGCCCTGATATGTTGCTGTTACTGTCATTGTTTAGACCCCAAGCGAGTCAGCATTTAAAACATGCATAACAAACCTGTTTAAATCTCTTAGAATATGAATAACATGTCTACAATGATTGTGTTCTGATTGCTGGCACAATTGTGCCCTACATTACATGTATTGAATGTTATTCAACATTGGGGAGGAGTCTGCCTTCATATTCAGACACTCACTGCTAGGCCTGGCAAGGTAAGGTAAAAGTTAAAAGGTAAAAACAATGAGCCTATTTTTACCCTACCTTTTACCTTACCACAATACAATCACTCTACCCTACCTTTTACCCTTTAGCAGGTAAGGTAAAAGGTAAAAAGCAACGAGCCTACCTTTTACCCTTACCCCATATAAATTACCCACTTACAGGGTAATTACTAGGGAACTGCACATGAACAAGGTTTATAACGGTAAATGCTGGGTAGAGCGCTTTATTCATATAGAATACTCTCGAAGATTCCAATTTTACACGCTTGTTGGTGTTGTTGTTGTTGACGTTGTTGTCGTATCCTCAAATCTTGTAACAAATTTTTTACCCACTTCCTAATGTGGTATCGACTGGAAACTTGGTACACTTATGTCATACTGATGACAACACTATATTCTATCATAAAATCCTTTTTTATATGTTATGTTTCGGCTTGGGTCTAATTGTCCATGGTCAACTGACGTTGGCTGTAAATCACCACGGTCCCTTACGTTGTGGCAAGCTTCGGGGCCACTTCCTGGAGTCGTGGAGTTCTTCCATTACTAGTACATTTTATAAAAGCGTGTTTTTAAGAAAGTTTTTAAAAATATTACTTATTAAATGGAGGCCACGGACTGCGCCACTGAGCTTTTAGCGGTAAACTAGGTACTGTATTTACCGGGTAATACTTCGCGCTACCTTTACCCTACCGGGTAATTCTTCCGAGCTACCTTTACCCTACCTTTTACCTTACCCCTTGGCATGTCGACATCTTTACCTTTACCCTTTTACCCGGTAAAAAGGGTAAATTACCTTACCTTGCCGAGGCCTACTCGCTGCTGCCATAGTTGTCTCCAATCTGAAGGCACAGCCACATGGATGGTATCTCTGACATCAAATGACCTGCGAAGTCATGCTCGGGTTATAACAAATAATTTAAGTATGGTCATATGACCCTAATGACGTACAAGGCATGGGGGGGGGGGGGGCCTTTATCAAGCATTCGATTAATATAAATTACCTGTACATTAACATGCATGTCTGGATTAGAGGTTAAATATCATTAAGTCTGGCGATGATGTTTAATGCAGGTGGAATAAACATGTTCATGTGGATGAATGAGTGATCGGACGCATGCATGTGTAATGCGAGCAAGAATAGGGTGGTTGCTGGCCTCCGCGCCACTCACACGGCCCGGAGTATTGGGGGGCGGAGCCTGGTCGACGGAGCGTGTGGGAGGAGCCACTGCTCACCTCGGCTCCAATGAGAGACGGGGTGACCGGGGGCGGAGACGGGGGCAGTACGGGAAGGAGGAGTCAGGGTCACGTGAGGGGGAGGATATAAGGAGAGAGCCGGAAGAGATCGAGAGGTTGGAAGAGAGTGAGAATAGGGAGGAAGCCACGCTGGGCAGTGGCGGAGAAGTGGCGCCATTTGCCACGTGGACGGAGACCTACGCGCACCGTAGGCCAGCGGTGTGCGTGGGGGTGCCGGGGCTAGCAGAGTGTGGAGGGGCTAGCAGAGTGCCAAGCACACGTAGCTAGAGAGTGGCTAGCAGGGTGTGCGGGGGCACACGGACCAGCGGTGTGGCTGGCGGCGTATGCGGAGGGGCACACGGAGGAAGCAGAGCGGCCGCGGTGTGGGCGAGGGCCACACGGAGCGTGCGTGGGGCGCACGGCAGAGGCGGCGCGGGTTCGGACGAGGACGAGCGGGGGTGCGAGACAAGAACCCAAATAAAGGATGAACGGAGACCTACATCGCCTGACCGAGTCCTTTATTACACATGATTGGGAAAACGAGCGAGTGAGTGGCTTGTAAAGCAACAGGCACGAAATGTATTGAATTGGTACAGTGAGTGGTCAAATATGTAATAATTGAGAGGATGAGTAAGTCAAAAGGTTGCAAAATCTGAGCGTTGTTCCAACCTCCCCAGGCCATCCAACTTCAAACAGAATCTACTCCTCAACAACATGGACAGCCAAATCAAGTGGGCTGAGATCTTGGATGACTGAGGGTAAGTCCCAGATACCTGCATCACATTGCTTATATGCAGAGAAGGAGGCTCCTTGATCAATTACTTTTAGTAGACATGGCTTGGTGGTGACGGGAAGACGTAATGAGCGAGTGTGGCTGAGAGGATGGGTTCAGATCTGAGTTTCAGCCATTTTTGTTTAAACTGGGGTCTCAAGCTAAACATGACTTGTAAAGTTTTACTGCCATGTGATCAATATTTCTCAATAACAGGTCCTGTTGTGTGGTAAGAGGCAATTACAGTGATCTTAAAATTAGTTCTGTGAAACTCCACGTCCTTCGTTCTCTAATTCATTACTCGTCGTTTGAATTATTTTTTTGTTCTTTGTAGGCCGGGAGTCGTCGTGCCAGTCTACCACGTGAGGGGACATGGATGAGGTGGACCCTTTCCCAGGCCAAAGTTGCTACAAGCATCACTCCCCAAAGGTGGTGGGGTCTGTGGGGGCCAAACACACAACATTTTCTCAAACTAGCACACCATCACACCAAAATATCACTACACCATCTCTCCACATTACCTTTCTCAAGACACCACACCACCACTGCCAATTAAATGCACCATCATAGAGCCTCATCGTGTCTCTACAGTGAGGGAAACAAGTATTTGATCCCCTGCTGATTTTGTGCGTTTGCCCACTGACAAATAAATGATCAGTCTATAATTTTAATGGTAGGTTTATTTGAAGAGTGAGACAGAATAACAACAACAAAAATCCAGAAAAACGCATGTCAAAAATTTTATAAATTGATTTGCCTTTTAATGAGGGAAATAAGTATTTGACCCCCTCTCAATCAGAAAGATTTCTGGCTCCCAGGTTTCTTTTATACAGGTAACGAGCTGAGATTAGGAGCACACTCTTTAAGGGAGTGCTCCTAATCTCAGCTTGTTACCTGTATAAAAGACACCTGTTCACAGAAGCAATCAATCAGATTCCAAACTCTCCACCATGGCCAAGACCAAAGAGCTCCCCAAGGATGTCAGGGACAAGATTGTAGACCTATACAAGGCTGGAATGGGCTACAAGACCATCGCCAAGCAGCTTGGTGAGAAGGTGACAACAGTTGGTGCGATTATTCGCAAATGGAAGAAACACAAACGAACTGTCAATCTCCCTCGGCCTGGGGCTCCATGCAAGATCTCACCTCGTGGAGTTGCAATGATCATGAGAACGGTGAGGAATCAGCCCAGAACTACACGAGAGGATCTTGTCAATGATCTCAAGGCAGCTGGGACCATAGTCACCAAGAAAACAGTTGGTAACACACTACGCCATAAAGGACTGAAATCTTGCAGCGCCCGCAAGGTCCCCCTGCTCAAGAAAGCACATATACATGCCCGTCTGAAGTTTGCCAATGAACATATGAATGATTCAGAGGACAACTGGGTAAAAGTATTGTGGTCAGATGAGACCAAAATGGAGCTGTTTGGCATCAACTCAACTCGCCGTGTTTGGATGAGGAATGCTGCCTATGACCGCAAGAACACCATCCCCACTGTCAAACATGGAGGTGGAAACATGCTTTGGGGGTGTTTTCTGCTAAGGGGACAGGACAACTTCACCGCATCAAAGGGACGATGGAAGGGATCATGTACCGTCAAATCTTGGGTGAGAACCTCCTTCCCTCAGCCAGGGCATTGAAAATGGTTCGTGGATGGGTATTCCAGCATGACAATGACCCAAAACACACGGCCAAGGCAACAAAGGAGTGGCTCAAGAAGACGCACATTAATGTCCTGGAGTGGCCTAGCCAGTCTCCAGACCTTAATCCCATAGAAAATCTGTGGAGGGAGCTGAAGGTTCGAGTTGCCAAACGTCAGTCTCGAAACCTTAATGACTTGGAGAAGATCTGCAAAGAGGAGTGGAACAAAATCCCTCCTGAGATGTGTGCAAACCTGGTGGCCAACTACAAGAAACGTCCGACCTCTGTGATTGCCAACAAGGGTTTTGCTACCAAGTACTAAGTCATGTTTTGCAGAGGGGTCAAATACTTATTTCCCAAATTAAAATGCAAATCAATTCATAACATTTTTGACATTAGTTTTTCTGGATTTTGTTGTTCTGTCTCTCACTGTTCAAATAAAACTACCATTAAAATTATAGACTGATCATTTCTTTGCCAGTGGGCAAACGTACAAAATCAGCAGGGGATCAAATACTTTTTTCCCTCACTGTATACCATCACAAGACACCATCTCTCGAGAACATTGCACTACTTGACCTCTCCAAACAACACCATCTCGCCACCATCCCACTCATGCAAGCACTTGAAGTGGTAATTTATTACCAATGAAGACAGAATTATATAAATCAGTCACATTAATTGTCTGTTAGTTGATTTTGAAGTTTCCATTCCAGTTGCCCATTATGGGCACTACATGGGCACTACAGTGGGCTACCAGATCTTTATAATGGAGCATTCTGTGGAAACTATTGCAGTGATGATTGTTGACAACAATTGCTATGAAATCTTCGCAGTCGATCACAGCCTTAAGTGCATGTATGGGGTTTGTGAGGATGTAATATGTATTTTGATTCTGTAGGGGTTGGGATATTTAGGGGTTAGGGCTACACGTACAATGTGATAAAAGTATTGATGGATAAGGTGTTATGTTAACATCAGGTGATAGTGTATATTCATGTGTGTGCTAAGCAAGCTTGAATGAGTGAATGTGGATGTCTGCATCTGTACATCGATGTGTGAGTATGCATTGTGTTTATGTGCACGTCTTATGTTTGCGTGCCTTTGGGTACGAATTTTTAACACAGAGGCTTTCGCGACCAGTATTATTCATAATAAACGTTTTTGTGTTAGATCACGTTATTTATAAATGTATCGTAACCTTCCACCACCCGACACGGCCAATCAGCAAAAAAGTGTCGCGTTGACAAATAGACAAATAGTTCACTACTTTAGCCCACCGGTGTGTTGAAGAGTGAATCCACAACATTTCCAGTTTTTTTATGTAAATGTTGTGGTTTCACGCTTCAACACACCGGTGGGCTAAAGTAGTGAACTATTTGTCTTTTGTCAAGGTGACGCTTTTTTGATGATTGGCCGTGTCGGGTGGTGGAAGGTTACGAAACATTTATAAATAACGCGATCTAACACAAAAACGTTGATTATGAGGGTATGAATTTGTGTTTGCATGTGCATGTCTGAATATTCCTCTGGTCATCTTAACTTGAACAGAGGATATTTGGGGAGGTGAAGGACTTCAGCGGGGTGAAGCGTCTCAAGGAGGAGAAGGACCTTGCCACGGAGAAACGCCTCGTGGTAGAGGAGCACCTCTTTGAGATGCAGCGCCTTGCCAGGTTGGAGTGCCGCACAGAGCAGAAGTGCCTCAGAGACGATCTCCACCAGCAGCGCCTCATTAAAGTGAAGTGCTTCACGGATGAGAAGCGTCTTGTTCTCCCCGTGGCCGCGTGGATTTTTCTCTGGGTCCTTCGGTTTTTCCCTCCATATTCAGAAACATGTGTTTAAGAGTATTTGGCTGCTATAAATTTCTCCGTGACAAGCCACTTCATGGGTATTTCATTTGTGGCCAGGTCGCTTCTGGAAAAGAGCTGCATAGCAGTGGGCCTTACCTGGTAAAATAAAAATAGATTAGTTTTGTTAGTTTATTTTGTGACACAGAGGGGGGGGATGTCCATTCAAATGGTCGAGATGTGATGTAAGGCGCTTGTGACTTCCCAAAAATATTATTTATTTATGGCAGTTTTTCATATCTACACATGCACAACGACACGCCACTTTCTCCATCTGCCTGACTTGGTATTTTCTTTTTTTTTACTTAAATAAATGTTAATTTCGTTTTGTGTACACGTGTATGTTTGTGTACACCGTTTGGGGAGCGGTGGTGCAGCAGTTAACGCCCTACGAATTCAGCCATCTGAGTACGTGGTGTGGTGTGTATAACATCGCAAACCTGGGGAGACAAAGGCAGCCAGACGTGGGGCTGGCCACCCACCCACTTCTGTGCCATGCCGGCCATCATAGGTGCTACCCGCTAATAGCACTTGCCCCAGCAATCTGTTAACGGCGATACGGGGTACTTTTGTCTATTTGTCCAATTGTGTGCGTCTGTGCGACGCATGCGAAGATGTGCATGTTTGTGTTTGATAAATGTACATCCGCAATGTGTGTGTGACGCGTATGATGCGCGTGTGTGACGAGGGTTGGAACAGCAATTCACGCACTGCCCTATCCACACGGCGACCTCTCCTCAACGCCTCGAGCCTCGGCGGAGAGCGCCGCGAGATTTGACTCCAACTCAGGGTTTTCAGGGACATACACCCCACCCCCCCATGCCCACGGTGTTGGGAGGAGGGGGGAATCGCCCCCCCCCCTCAATCCACCCTCGGGAACTTACGCTTCTTCGCCGTGTTCATGTACGGTTTCCAGGGCCACTCCACCTCGGCGGTGGCCGCGTTGTCCAGCGTGCCCAGTTTAATCTCGTAGACTGCGCGACACACGAAGGCAAAGATCCCCCCCCATGTAGCCTTTAAGACCGTGTGGGAAAAGCGCTGTTCGCGTATTAGCACGTAGGAAAGCCAGCACGGCAAACGAAGGGGTGGGTGTGGGTGGCCAGCATTACGCCCGGTCATCTTTAAATTTACACATCGCATCGGGGGTGGGGGAATGCGGGTCAGGTCACGGCACAGCGAATGCGACCAGAGCAGCGACCCCACCGACTCAAGTTCCGACCCGCTCTGCAAGTCACTTGCGGCCCGACGCTAGAATCTTACATTCAGCCCATCATCCTCCCTGGGGTCGACCACTTCGTAGGGATGTTCACAAGGATTTTCAACCGCCTCCGCAGGGGTGTAAAGTGGAGACGAGCTGCAACGTGTCAAGCAGACTTACACTTCATCTTGAATCACGGTCCCACCTCCTTCAACTCGATGTCCTTGCCGTCGCGCTTGTAGACGTGGTGCCTGTTGGGAGGGTGGGGGGGCACAGAAGTCACAGGAGGGGTCGCGGCAAGTCACACGGACGGTGCTGGACTCTCATTACGCGTCCTAGCAGACATTTGCCAGTTAGAGGCCAGCGCCCGCCCTGTTGAAAACTGTGGATGCATAAACAAATGAACAACATTACACGCCGTCAGCTCAGAGATGGCGTTAAATAAAAACTCTGTGCCCATGTTCGAAAACTCAAGTAAAACGAAACTATTTTTATTTTACCACTGAGCTATGTAGCTCTTCACATAAAAATGTATAGCTGCCAAATACTCTAAATTCAATTTTTAAAATGAGGGAAAAACCCGGAGGGCCTGGAGAAAAATCCATGCGACCAGGAGGAGAACATGCAAACTCCGAATATACAGGCGTCGGGGTCGGGATCGAACCTATGACCTCCTGTATACCTGGCGAAGTCGTCAACATCTCACCACCGTGGCATGCCGGCGTTATGGTGAATTATTTACAGTTTGTAAAACAACCCGCAAATGACCTAGTTGGGTCAAAACACATCGCAACATCAAAATAGTTTAGTTTCACATATGTGCCGACCAAAATTTACACCACCAGCACACACTTCATACGGCCGACTCTTTTCCGTGTTCTCGCCACGAGATTTTTCAACGTCCACTTGGGAAGCAATCGCCGTGCGGTATTTACAGTCCACGCAACTGCGGCATTAATCCCATCAAATCGGTGGGGGGGGTTGGGGGCCCGCCGTTCTCGAACCGCGAACCTCCGCGGCAAAACGCGGTGCCACCGCTCGGCAGGAAGGACCTATGGCGAGCCGGGGATGCGCGCCGACTCGGCGTGACGCTTCTTCCCCTGCCTCGGGAGTCTCGCAGGAAGCAAGAGAGTGATAGACGTGAGGAGACGCGATGGTGAGGGATGTGAGCTCATCCTCCCCTCCCTGGTCGTCGAACTCTGCGGCCTTCTAGAGTTCAAGCGCCTCCCGCCGCAGGTCCGGGGGCAGCACCAGGTTTTCTACGGTGACGACGTCAGGGGGATGGGGGCAGTGGGTGGGGGGGGGGGGGGAGAATTAACAAGGAATAAAAATCATGCGCACACATGGATTCATTCGGAAACGCTTTCCAAGTGCTGTTGTCTTCTCGCCTGTATCGTCAGACCATCTTGTCCCATCTTAGTCCGTCTTGCGTGTCTCATTGTCTCTAGATCCGTCTCTAGTCTGCCTTGCGCGTCTCATCGTCTCTAGTCTGTCTCGCTGTCTCTCGTCCGTCTCGTCGTCGCGAGCCCGTCTCTAGATCCGTCTCGCCGCCCGTTACCATCGAGCGCCCTCCTGAGCCGCGCCTTCTCCTCCACGAGGATCTTCTTGGCCTCGTGCGCCTTGCGGTAGAGGTACTCGCCGTGCAGTTGCGCCTCCTCAGCTGCACCACCAAACAAAGACAAAGATCCCCCGTGTAGCCTTCGACGGACTGTCAGGTGCAAGTGCTGTTAGAGAGCAGCACCTTTGATGCACGAAGGGGTGGTGGGTGGCCAGCACCACATCCAGCCGCCTTTTTCTCCCCAGTGACGATGTTTACACAATGCACCAGGTACTCATTTGAGGCTGAGTCGACCTAGGGGAGGCCCAGGAACGGAATCGTCACCGGTGTTGGCCGTGAGCGGGAATCGAAGTCGGGACGCTGGGTTCTTAGTGCAGCGTAGCGCTAACCGTGAGACGACCATCAACAACAACCGCCATTCGCTACGTGCACCTTAAGGCCACGTGAAGCGTCGAACGCCCGCTGGCAGCAGGTCACGGACAGACAGACCCAAGTTGCCACTGGTTGCCTGACTGAAATGACTGGCCGATGCACCACCTGTGCCCCCTATTGTGCTACACCACCGCTCCCACCGACACAAACTCCCTTGGGCTATCATTTGTGATGGCCAGGTGGCTTCTGAAAAAACACATTCCTGCGGAGGGAGCTGGTAGGAACGTTGGCTTGCTCGGTCAATGGCCAGGGTCAATGGCCGACTGTGAGGGCGGGCACAAGCCGGCCTGAGTAGGTTAAACGTTGAGTTGTGTAAGGGCACCACGGGGTGACCAGCCCCTCCCCCACCAAGCCCCACACCTCCCGCCTCCCACCCTCCTCACCCAACCCCTCCCTTCACGACGGACGGACACAATAATCCCATGGGCTGGTGGAACCAGTGGGTTCCTACCAGTAAGAATGCTACATAGCTCAGTGGGGCCTTACCTGGTAAAAATATAGCTTAATAGTTTAGTTCATAGTTTTTCAATAACAATCAGCCGGCGCGTAGCACGTGAAGAAGATGCGAACTTCTTTCGCACAGTACAAAGCCAACCGCGCTGAATCGGAGACGTGAGCCCAGACGAAGATGCAGCAGCGAGCAGCAACAAACCACGAGCTTGCACTCTGAGTGCGGCACCACGATGCACCTAGCGACGTCGTTGATTAATGTCTGTAATTAATATCGATGGTGAATCTCTATAATTAATATCGATGATTCGATTCTACGAGAACAGATTCCACAATAATCGATTCCACGACTATTTTTGTAAAGCGAAGTATGCGAATCGATTCAAACGTGTTCGTTACGGTATTGTCAGAATCAGTATGGATTCTGTGCCGGAGGAATCCGAAGAGCTATAAAGCTCTTTGATCACATGTACCAGTATGGGGCACGTGGTCATAATTTCACAACAACAAACAATACAAAAACGATAGGAGTGCAAAGGGAAGGATAGAAAACCACTAAAAATAGGTTAAATAAACCATATAAGTTCATACTCTTTGGTTCTTTCGGTAAGAAGTCTCGCTCTCCGTTCTACCCACTACAACTGGCGTCAGAAGTAGCAAAATAGTTATCTGAATCGCTATTATGGAGACGCGAAGAGAAACTCGTACCAGGGCTCCGGAGGAAGAGGAGGACGACTCAACAGCACCGGGGTTGGCAGCCCCGGACGGGGGAGGAGAAGCGCCGCCGGCCGAGCTGCACACTGCCCGGCCGCCCGGCGGCTCACCACCGTCGGGGAGGGCGCTTCGGGTGGCTCACTCCCGTCTCGCCCAACTCCTGCACGCGGCGGCATCCATCCTCGACGAAATGCATCGCGGGTTATAACCACAACAAATATAACCACAATCACTGCGACCATAACCACCATCACAAATATAACCACAACCACCAGCTACATAACCACAAGTATAACCACTACCCCCACAATTATAACCATAACCACCACCTCTTCTTGGTTCTTTCGGTAAAGTCACGTAGAAGGGAAATAATAAAAATAAAACATAATAAACAATATACGCTGCCAAGCCTGGTGGTGCCCATTCAGACACTGTCTTTCCGACAGACCTGTTCTTCACCTGAGGACGGCTGCTTGCGTTGTGGCCGAAAC